TTTGTAAAATCAAATGCATGTCTCTGTGCAAATGCACGTGCTACTTATCTGCATTCAGTAAGCACTTTGCCTTCCCCATGCGACCATTAATGCTGATGTGTTCTTGTATTTACCGATGGGACTCTGCCTTGTGAACAATCCACGTGACATTTGTTAAATGCATTTGCGATTTACAGTTTGTGGTGCTTCCAGAGATATCACGTTTGCATGCACAATACAGTTGAATAATAATTAGAAAAGTCGGTTATAGAAATGAAATGCAAACACAAAAGGAGTGTTCGTAATGACCTGGAAGCATCCAATCAACGTTGCAGAGCATGTTATGGCTTAATTTATAATCAGGTTATGTTGTAATAATTAACAACAGTATGAACGCTATAGTCTATTAAGCTGTCGGTGTAAAAGCACATCCTGTTTCCACGTGGATCAGTATTCATTCATTCAAATGAAATGCTAAGAGGTAACCATTACTGAATGACAGATAAACTGTCAAAACAAAAACAGACAAAACAACAATGGGACATTTTCATCAAAACACAAATAAATATTACTTCCATAAAATGCTGCTCTGACATTGCAGGATTGGCACAGAGAGGCCTTCCTCTAGCATTTGGATGGCATGTGGCTGATGATGATTGTGTTGCTGCTACATAATTAGATGTTTTCACTTGCAAACTATGTCCAAAAAAAGCTTTTCGGATGCAGATTACCTCCCATCTGCCAGCTCTCACAATGTTTGCAAAGAAGTGTGATTTGATGGTCCCCATCAGTGGCTTGTGAGAGTTGTTTGCGGTAAACACTAGAGCTGGGACCATTAGTCGATAAAGTCGATGAATTGACCGAAAATTCTTATATAATCTACTACTTTTTCCGTGGTCGATTACAAGGGCACCTTTAAAAATGGCAGCTGCCTTAAACATCGAAGGCAGGAAACCCTCCCCCCTGCAAGCCACGCCCAGCGTGTTATGACGCCGACGATGTCACCAAGCCATGCCCACCACCTGTCCAGCAGCGCATGTGGGAACATACGTGAGACTTTTTTTTCAAACTCTATGCGTGGTACACTATTAGTCGAGTAAACGAACCAATAATCGATAGTAGTCCATTAGTTAACTAATCGAAGAGCCCGGCTCTCATCACAAACCAAAGCAATCGAGTCCACAGGATTTCGGGGCTGACTGCCAAATAAAGCCCGAAGCAATTTGAGCTCATTCGGGTGGGCCTAACGCAAAAACAAAAATGGATTATTGCATTGGCTACAAAAGCATACGTTGAAGCACATTTACTGTATTCCGATGACATACGTTGTATGTATATTGAACTTCTTTCACACCGTACACATAGCTAGCCGTGCTAATCGAAGGTATGTAAGGCCCGATGTCCACTCACTTTTATTCTGGTCGCAAACCCCGCACTACCCGGAGGGAATATTTAGCGAGAAGAGCCTAGCCTACTGCTGCCCAAATCCCCAGATACTCAAACGCCCTACCAGGTACCTCTTAGCTGTATTCACGGCGTCGCACGGACGCTGTGAGAGTCGGAGGGAGGAGGACGAAATAAAACTTTGCCTATCACTGCCTCGTGACGGCACTCGCTGGCGGCACACGGATGCTGCGAGCGGCTCGAGAAGGCAGGACAGTGGGGAGTGGGTCTTGGCGACCAAGAGGTTGAAGAAAGATCTAATTTGAACGAACCCCAGGCTCCCCTTTTATCCTCCTCACTTCAAAATCCTGCGGTCGTGTTTTACCACGCGGCCAATTGTGCGTCTACCTGTGATTACCACACGTTTTTTTTGTCCTTACGACCCATTGCCTGTCCGTCTGTACTCATTAATTTATTACTCACCCTTGTTAATCCGGAATGATGCCGAACTGGCGAATACACACGCTGCGAGTGTGACCCCCATGCCGAATACACACTTGCAAAGTACACACTTGCAAAGTGTGTATTCGGCATGGGGGTCGGGGGAGGTCGTGGCACTGCGATCCCCTGACCTCATGGTCTGCCCTTCTCGCCTAATATTCCACCCCAGCCCCTCCCGATGTCGTGAATTACTCATTGCAGCTGGCATGATGAACCTTTTTGCACCCATACAATATTAAGCCAACTCAGAGGCACCGCAATGTGACCTGTCCTGCCAGGGTCCGCCAATCTCCTGGTACCGGGAAACCGTGGGACTTTCCTCCTAGGGACCCTTCGGATTAAAACCCGTTGTGCCAGGCAATCCCCCGCCAGGACACTCTGCATGTGCACTACGTGTGTGTGCTCAGTGTGGGGGGCAGGGGGGAGTCGCGGCGCTTGCATAGTTACTTCGAGGCCATGGCACCACAGGTACGGAATAGCATTGAACAATATATTTACAGATGTTCATGGTAAGCTCTTTAATGAAAGCAGTACACACGTCCAAGCAGGTACAGCTCTCCCGACGGGTTTTTGGGGGTTGTTGCCACGTGTTGTCTGCCACGATGGCTGACGTGCTTCAACCCACGCGGTGGAGTGGAACGAGCTGAAGCAGCTCCCACTTAAACGTGGAGCGAAACGTCGGACGTCGTGCCGAGCGACACGCGGCAACGGCCCGAAAACCACATCGGGAGTGCTAAACAGAACGGCCGCAACACAAGCATTGCAGTCGTAGTAATACGTTCATTTATTCACCTCTACGAATTGATTCTAGTTAAAAATGGGTGGATTTTTGCTGAAGCGTGTGTGAGCATCAATGTACGTGTAAACGTATATTATGAATTGCGCCGTACTAAATTAAATGGATGTAATTTCACGTGAAAAAATATCGAAATGAATCAAATCACAACGCGATTGATTTCCAACGTATGTAGATAAAGTACGCGGGTTCGGATATCAAACTAAGGTTTTCGTGTCGGTTTACTGCGTATTTCTTGTGGCCTTGATTCACCTACTAGGTCACTGTACTGCATTCCTGAGGCTGCTGTTAGAAACTCTAAATCAATAAGAGTGCACATTCCTTCTCCGAGTAAGGTGCCCATTGATGAATTGGCTTTTGGAAGGTGCCAGCCAGGTTTGTAAAGGCACCAACCAACCTTGGCGCTAGCCAACAACTATTGCCGAGCAGTGATCTGATTCGTGCTGCTGGGCACACGAGGCTCAGTGAATTCATTCAAAGGAATTCCGGTCGCGCGGTTGAGTGCTTCGGCAAGACTATTTCAGCCACCCTGAAATTAGCACCCCCGATTAGCACGTACGGTGCGAAAGAAGTTCAACATACATACGTTAACGTTGGAAGCAGTAAGTTTCTTTGTTGAGTAGCATTCTCAACATGCTCAAGGCTCTCTGAGAGTGTGCTCCGTGAAATTTCATGTACCTTTGTTTGGTACTGCGCTACATTTACTTTAAAGGTAGTTAAATTCATTGTGTATCACTACGTATGTACGTTTATGTATGTTTAGAATCGCTTTGCCCACGACTAAAAGCACAGCTTCAGAGGATGTATTGTTATCATATTCATATATGTATTATCATATTTTTCGATTTAAAACTTTCGTGACTGCAGGGATTCATCTTCTTGGTTCTTTCGGTAAAGTCACGTAGAAGGGAAGTAATAAAATAATAAAAATAAAACATGAGAATTATTTTATTATGTTTTATTTTTATTACTTTATTATTATATTGATACACCAATTGAGACGAGGCTCAAAAGAAAGCCGTCTCTGGTATGGACCAATCAGTTTCAAGGACAATACAAATATTATCAGAGTGTTTTTTTTTGCATTTTGACCACAAGTATTGTGGTTAATGCACACATGATTCCTTGTAAAAAGGTTTCAGTTGTGTTGCCAGAAAAAAGGGGAAAACCCCCATTATTATATTTTGGTACTGGCAAACGAGGTCTAATGGTGTACAATCCATGCTAATCGGAGATGCGGGGGAAGGACAACAAACTAAACACGAAACGCAGTTCTAAAGAAATGAGTTTGTCAATCTAGATGATTTAAAAGCGCGTAGCTCCGGTGGCTCCCTAATATCGGAAGGAAGAGCGTTCCAGACGGCCGCAGAAGTGCGCGACGCGATTGGCCACCGTCTTTGTTCGATCGTTAGCCAACAGCCGCTGCTGCTGCTGAGAGGATGTTCGGAGTTGCCAACGTGGACTTCAAAGTGTCCGCAGAGTCGCTCGGCTTACCCCCCCCCCGCCCCCCGCCAAAATATACTTACAATGTTTATTCTCGGACAAAGAGCTTTCCAGATCACTTGAGGACTTGAAAAATCGTACTTATCGCTTCACCCATCTCTTCCACGCAAGCAATACGCTGCGTGCGCGTGCGCTTAATGGAGTTGTCGATGTCTGCACACGTGCGAATCTTGTTTCTCTGACAGGTAAGCCTAGAGTTTAAGTAAATGTTTAAAAGGCATCGCGTTGCCTTACATAATTTACTCGTTTGCACTTAATTGTCTGAGGCACATTGCGAGCACTGCAAGACCTCCTCTTGGCCGACGTACCTTCGACGATTAATGACGCGTTTATTTTATCATTTTGTTCATAATTGGCCTTGCAATTAGGAATTGGCTGTTAATGATAATTGCAATCAATTATAATGTGCATGTCATTAACACTGTGCCTGCATGCTCGTATTTACATTTGAAGTTATCGTTTATTACAACGGCGAATTTACTTGTTTAACCCTTTGCAAACGGCGTTATGGTTACAAACCGGGCTACTGTAAGTGTGTGTCGGATACAACTGCCATGCCCACCGTAACTAAGCATAGGCAAAGGTGTCAGGTGTGCTATTGTTTTATTTTCTGTACTTCTCTCGCACCGCACGTATACAACCGTGCTAATCGGAGGTGCGTCTATGAAGTAATACAAACCCACATATATCTATATCCCTCGGCGCACATTTTTTAAACATCGCAAACAAAAAAAACAGAAAACAAACGTGGCAATTACCGGTATTTAAATCCCCCTCCCTGTCTCCCTTTCCTCCCATCCATGTTGTTGTCGCTCTTCCCACCCCCCCCCCTTTGCAGATTACGTTCTTCACGCTGCTGTCAGCGGTGTGTGTGATGCTCAATTTGGCCGGCTCCATTCTCTCCTGCCAGAACGCCCAGCTCGTCACCTCGCTGGAATACTGCCACTTGGTCAGCCTCGCAAAAACAAAACACAAAAATGACATCGCACACTCAACTCCGAAGCCCTGCCTTGCGCCACTCAGAAGGGCAACATTGCCGGCAGAGTTTTGACCCGTTGCGTCGTTTCTCCTCCTTTGTCGCAAACGGCGTAGATTTTGCGGTGTTGTTTTTGTGAAAAAAGGAAACCTCCTTTTTTCGAACAAGTAGAACATACGGTCTGTTTTCTTGTAACGCGGCGGTCGTTGTGTTCCTGAAGAACACCGCGTTATGGGGAAAATCGCGTTGATAATCAGCGATATATAATATGGGGTAAAGCGCAGTCCGCGATAACACGTGAGATGCGTATGCAGGCTGAAAAAAGACTGAGGCCGCGGGTAGCATCTAGAAGCATCCAGCAGCATCCCAATGCCGTGTGTGATGCTACGCAGAGGCAGCCACATGACCGCTTATTCCTACTCGCGTGACGTAGTAATGCGTCACTCAATTGCGTTATATCCAATTCGCATCCGCGTTATAAAAATATGTTCCCGAATACATTAATTGCGTTATATCCAATTCAACAAATGGCGCTTAATTATCATCTTATTTGACAGGTATTATTCTACTTTACCGAGTGTTGACATCCCCAGCGTTAAACAATACTTTCCTTTTTGTATTTGGATTGTCAACCAACACCGGGTACGACTTGTACACCTATTGGTCTCTTTTAGCCCCGCCCACCCCCCAACACGTTCCATTCATTGGCTACCACATTCAGATAAGCCCCTCCCCCTCCTCCCCCCTTAACTTGTATTTAAGAGCTCGTCTCTTGGAATTTTGCCTCACTGGATACAGTAAATTTAGCTGTGACGGTCCCACCTGATGACGGAGACTTGTGTTGCCTCCGAAACGTCGTGATTTTAATTTTTATTTCTATTATTTCTATTATTTTTATTTGTATTATTTATTTTTACATACGTGACTTTACCGAAAAAACCTCAGAGTATAATTATCATCGGTTATTGTGATCGCATTTTTAATGTTGCGTCACCGCAAATGAGGTTACTTGTTTCTGTAATGCCTTGGTCTTGTCCCAGTAACTTTCTTTATTCTTGGCTTAAATTGCCTGTCTGTTATTTCCCCTATACAAATAACGGTTGTATGCGCACACACACACACACACATGAACACTTGAATTAAATGTCTTCCTTCAGAGTGAAAAAAATGTCAGTGGTAGAACAAACATCGAGGGTGAAGGAAAACCATTCAACAGTGTGTGCACAGCCACAGGTTCAATTGGATGAAGCCAAGTTTCACGATTACCCTTCAGCTCGACCGTACCACTGGGTAGCGCGCGTGAATCGCTCAAAGCAACGGGCCCCATGTCCACAGCGCTGGCAAGAACAGCAAGTCAGAAGCAATCGTCAGGTCACAGGTTGAATAAGTTACTTGGCCACGGTTGCATAAAAATAAAACCTTCCAATTACGCTTTGCTCCCGAGTAATCTTGGGTGCAATTATGCAAGTGCCACACTGGCATTTCGTAGATAATTTGCATGGCTAGGACTCTAATGAAAAACGGTGGTTTTCATACTGAGCAGTATTTATTAACACAACCATTTTAAAAGGCAATTGTTTTTAAGAGTTTAATATTACGAGAAAAACACTCACACTGACGGGCAGTGTACGTGTACGGTGTTTTTTCTGCAATATTTTGCTGTCTTTTCATGGATTTTCTGTTTGCACTTAGTCACATATTCACTTTAAGATGTTTTTTGTTCGTGTTTTTGTTTTTTGTTCGTTGCGGTTGCACCCGATTCAAGAGTCGAATGGCTCACAGGGTTATACCTAATAAATGAACTTGAACTTAAACGTGACTCTTTGTCCTGAAGGACAGAGCTACATTTGCCTGCTTACACTGCTGCTAGTGGGACGGCCTCCAGGAGAAGGAGCACTAGAGAACCCCTCGAGAGGGTGTTTGGCCTACTCTTCCACACCGGCCAGACGTCTTGGAAGGCGTGGGGAAGTTGTCTACGCTTTGCGCGACTGAATGTGTAATTGCCGATCGACTGACCGTGGTGCCCCCATTGATACTGCTGGTGTTGGGAGGATTTAAGTACCTTGCCTTGTTCTTTAACTGACACGCAGGGAGGCCAAATCAAAACCAGCGACCTCTGGGTCGCGACTCCAGTGTGCTGCTAACACGCACAACGCCACGGCGTCTAGGAAACGAAGGAAGCACAACAAGTAATGACATATAAACGTGTCCACATGTACACTTTCAGTGAAATTGATAAGGGTGCACAAATAAAACAGTTTAGTGCACGCGTAATGTAATGCTCATGTTTGTACGTTGCCTACAGAAATCTTCCAGGTTACAATACATCACTCGTACAAAATGCTTCAGGAAATTGCTAACGCACTGTTTGCGAGGTGCAAATCAGCGGAGTGAAACTGTGTGTTATTTCGCGACGGCCGCACGTGTAGTATATTGTAGAACAATTACGCGTATGAAGCGGCATTTTGAAGCGGGTGTGAAACCCGAAGCGAGATGAAAGCGCCGATAAACCTGCACTACAAAAGGCAAATAACCCGTGGGACTTGCGCAGCAGCTCAAGGCCCGGATAACCACGTTGATTGCTTTAGGACCTACACGCAGAGCGTGGCAACTTCATTTGGAAATGTCGCTGTGCATTTTTCCGAGAACGACATCTTTGGCAGCACAGTTTGCCACCGCGCAAAGTGTAAAGGGAGGAAAAGGATGATGAATAATACTAAAAGATACATAATGAAAACCAAAAAAAGTAAATGCCACATGTGCCTGGACCGTCTTCTACAATTGTACCTTGGATCACTGAGACTCATATTTCTGCTGAACCCTATAAAGATTCCAAGCAATCTTGATCTCTCACCTGAAGACGGTCGCTTGTGTTGCGATCGAAACGTCGTGATCTCTTATTTTTTCTACCTACGTGACTTTACCGAAAGAACCAAAGAGTAGAGATTACAAGCACATGCACTTACGTGGTGGAGGCGGTGAGCGCTCCGAACCCGGCGATCCGAGTTCGAGTCCCTACTCGCTGCCAACTCCAGTGACGATTAACTGAACTGGCCCCGGGCTTCCCCTAGGTCGACTCAGCCTTAAATGAGTACCTGGCGTGGTGTGTAAAAACTATCGGCACTGGAGAGACAAAGGTAGCCTGCGCGTAGGGGCCACCCACCTCGCCGTACCGGCCGTCATGGGTGCCCGAAAAGCGGCACTTGCCCCAAAAAACTTTGTTCAAGGCTGTGTGAGGGCGATCTTAGTCCACATCCTGCAGGAGGTGGTGGTGGAGTGTGGCAGATACTCCGACTGATGCTCCTACTGTTGTGGAGTAACTCATGCAGCCAGCTATGGCTGCAGAGTTTGGTAGTACATGTTGTTGACGTCGTTTATTGTGAAAATTCTGTCAGTTCCTATGATCACTGTTGCATTGCTTTTATGGCTTTATTTTGGTGATTTTCGAAAAGTTTTTTGGTTTGGCCATGTTTGTTTGTTGTAGTACAGAGTTAGACTGATGGCCTTAATCTAAGTTGTCTTGTGGTTGTTGTTGTTTGACTTGCATCCCACTGGGATAATTGCACAGTGTTGGTGTACGGTGATTTTTATGCAATATTTTCCTGTCTTTTCTTGGATTTTCTGTTTGCACATAGTCACTTTAAGATGTTTTCTTGTTCATGTTTTTTTGTTTGTTGCGGTTGCACCCGATTCAAGAGCCGACTGGCTCACAGGGCTATACCAAATAAATGAACTTTGAACTTTGAAGGGCCCATGTGCGACGGCTGTGCCTGCGTGCAGATAAACTTGGAGGACGATGTGTGCGTCTGCTGCGAGAACCCCAAGCTGAACGGCTGCAGCAACCTGGGGGACACGCTGAAGCTGAACCCGCTGCAGGCGTGCGACTCCGTGCGTCTCGCCCTCAAGGTGACTGTCACGCTGCGCCGTGGGCGATAACAACGCGCGATTTAAATAATCTTCTCGGGGGGGGGGGGGGTGACACTTTGTACGTTAACCCGCCCGTAGCTCGCTTGACGGTGCATACGAAATGAAACTGACACGACAAGAACACCCGAGTGCTCGCGCAGTCTCCTTCGTCGTAGCCTGCAGCCACCGAATGTTTGCGACCTATTTTTTTTGTCCCCGTTACACACAAAAAAAGGCACGGTCGCCTGCGGTATGTATCGTGTCCACCGGAATGTGTTGTTTTTGTTTTTTTTTGGGGGGGGGGGGGGGGCGACGTTTCGTAGTCAACGCAAATCGTGTCGGTGAATGGGTTTAGGCCGAGTTTGGAAGTGGCACGGCGTGCCAGACTTGATAAGTGCAGGTTTAGCAAATCCGTCTTAATAATAAATTTTTTGATATTCCATCGAAGCACACTACCTTGTTGTTAACGCGATAACATTGACGAATTATTCCTTCGGTCAGCGAACAGCTACCTGCAGATGAATCACGAAGCGCTTGCTCTATTCCGCATATTTCCTGCCCTCACTTGTTTCATCGCTAATATGAGAAGAGTTTGTCGGCAGATTTCATACCGCGAGCACCAGTTCTGCAACGGTGCGTTGCTTTTTTTTGTCGGGCGCCTCGCCTCTTTTTTTGTTGCAGCAACGTGTACAGGTACAGTGCCTTGAAAGTGTGCGGGGCTTAAGCGATCCTGATAATAAACATACACAGACATGCCCGGACAGGATCGTTCGTGATTTATTTTTTTTCTTTCGGTGTGCGTCCTCGTTGTTCCGCACCGCCAGGGCCACCGTTTAACACGGCTCCTTACTTGCTCCTTCCAGGCCCCTCGAGAGGGCACCCAGAGGTACCTCGCTCGCACTTTCTGGGCAGGTGACTTTGTAGCTGTCAATCGTCATGTTAGCACAGCTTGTGCCCGCGGTTGAAAAAAAGAAGTTGCCGTTCCCCAATGAAAAGGATCGGGTTTTTTTTTGTTCATTAGTATTCTTGATGTGTTCTCGACACAGCCTGATGTGTGCTTGCGAGGCAGCCTGTTTATCTGTGATTTGCTTGATAATTCTCATCCACCGGAGCTATTAGCACGGATGGGATGCCAGTTTGTTTACAAATGCATGGACTGCGAATCTGTAAGAAAATAAATCTGTATCGTTAGCAGAAAAAAATACATGGGGGGGGGGGGGGGGGTGGTCGTGTAGTGTAGGGGTTAGTGTACTGTGCTACACACTCAGCGTTCTGAATACAATTCTCGCTCACAGTGGCAAATAACTAGACCGATTACGGGTCTCCCCTGGGTCAGCTCAGCCTTAAATAAGAACCCGGTGTGGTGTAGAAACATCGCCACTGGGGAGACTATAACGACCGGATGTGGTGCCTCCCACAACCACCCCTTCACGCGCCGCGTCGACCTTCATCGCTGCTCGCTCACAGTCTGTGCAAGCTTCGGCGAGTGAAGAGTCTTTGGCTCCACTTGTGCACCATGCCGGCCTTCTTTGTGTTGCTCCTTGAAAGGGAGTTGCTGCACTCCCACCCCCAAAACAACCTGCAAAAATGCTCTATGGGCTATCTTCGTTTCATGCTGGATTGTTTTTTTTTTTTGTACGTTTTTACTTGGTCGTGTCCGGTGTGAATTTTCACAAATGCGGTCCCTTTTTAATAGGGGGGTGGGGGCTGGGGGTTGGGGGCGGGGGACGTCACCTGCAATGTGTGGGGAGCTGTCAGTGCCAAACCTAAACCACCGTGTGTGCCGCCATCACATTAAACGCCCTGCACATGACCCTTTGCCGATGTGTCTGCGTGCAACGTGGGGGGGGGGGGGGGGGGGGTGGCAGGGTAAACTAGCATTTCATATGAATGCTGAAAATGTCACCTGAGCCACACAATGTGTGCTGACATTTTCGATCGGGGAAAACAGAACGGCAGCTGGGCTTACTTGGCAGGGAAGAGCGGAAACACAACTGATGGATGCTCATGTGTTTTTTTTTGCCTCACGGATGTCCGCTCCGTGAGAACTGCCCAGCGCATTTTGCTTTTCACTGGCGGAGATTACTCCATCAATATTTCCTCCCCTGACAGTCGGCGGTGCTGAAGTTGCGACGAACGTCGGTGGTAGTCAAGTTCATAATGGCGTTATTTATACCTTTGCCCTGTATTTGGAGTTTCAAATCTGTCACGTGGCTTGGTATGAATTACATTGACGAATGTATGGCGGTAGCGCGGCCTGTTGAAAATTCAATATCTATTTTTGTTTTCATACATACTTTAGTCCTTTCCCCAGTTTTATTCCAATTGTGGCATCGCTATCGTGTCATCGTACAAAGTGCCTGTTCGGTAGAGAATGGCTTGTGGCAAACAGGTGTCCCAGAACTGCTTTTGAATCCCCTTCAAGTGACCTTAGAGTAAATCCACTCTTTCACATACGCATTGCTGCTGGGAAATGCTTATCCAATGGCAGTCAAACTCATTTTCATATCTGGAATTTGGCCCCATGAAGCAATGTATGTGTAATATCTCAATTACGGCGGGAGACGAGTTGACGGGGCAGCACTTATTTATTAACACTGATGCAACAGTAACAGGTACAGCCGAGATACAGCCTACGCTACGCGTGCCTAACTCGGCTACGCACTCAGGCCCTCCGGCTACGCTCTCCCCACGGGGAGCTATCGGACCCACCTTGCCAGGGCACGGGTCTCGACCTCTGGGTTACACAGCCCGGCCCTTACAAGGACGTCGGCCCGTGAATCCCAAGGTCTCGCCTCTGAGCCGCACAGAGTCCCGGCCCTTACAAGGGCAGCGGGGCTAGGGGTCTCAGGGCCCTATCTTTTCCTCCGTCTTCTGTCTTCACTGGTTGACGACTCCCCGAGTGCTGCTGCACATCGCCTTACATAGCCCTCCGCGCCAGGGGGCGGGGCCTATGCGGACCGCGATGTGGACACCCACTACGCGCTGTCTCACGATCCTCCCCGCCAGCACGTACCACCTCTACATATGTAATCAATGTCATGCAATCATTGGTGACAAACCAGAAACCGAGTTTTAATGCTAAGCGGCTACCTGGATTCACAGATGTCCAGATTTGAACCCGGATTCTCAGTGCCCCCGGCTCAAGATTCCTGAGCCACCCAGCCACATTCAAAGCACAATATTTATACGTACAATTTATTTTGGCGAAACATTTGCAGTAAATGTCATTCTGTACTGTAGAAGTCGGGAGCCGGCCGGAGGGTGGGGCTGAGTTGGAAAGGGGTGGGATTTAACTTTTAAAATAATTTTCTCATGTTGCACATTATTTTTTATTAACTATGCTCTCATTCTACAATGCACACGTTTGCCAACGCTACAGCATCAATATGTAATAGGTTGAAATGCGTGGTTTAGATCGCATGAATTATGCATAGGCGATTGCTCAGATTGTTACGAGAGATGCCCACGCTATTGAAGCAAGTGCCAAGATAATATAATCACTGGGAGCTGCACCCTTAGAATCACTTCATGTGAATTCTAGAGTAAGAGACATCCTCTTCAATTAAGAACTTTGTTCAAAAGGTAGGGGATAACATCGGCAATCATTGGCCCATTGTATTAGGTGGCTTTTGAATTATTTCTTTTTACTGTGGCAACGCTTAAAATGTATTATCGTTAGCGTCTATTGATGACATCACACAGCTGCCTGCACAGAGCTCACTTTGCCGTAATTTGGCTCGTACCGTTTGGTGAATCAGTCCCTAGTTGTGGTACAGTCATTCCTGTAATCAAGGATTTCCCTGTTCCTCAATGATTCACATATGTATTGTGATAACTTGAACAAATAAATAAACGATAACCTTGGGTTGAATCATCGTTTACTACCCTTTTCTAGATGTTGAATAAGCAGTCTTTACCCTACCTGTGTTTTATATGCCTGGCTGAGCGTCTCAAAAAACGTTCATACCCTGGGCATTTGCATCTTACAAATATAAATGTGTGATGAATATGTTTCCTTGTCGAATATAGATGGCGTGCCTGTGTTTATATAAGGCAGTGCCATGCAAAAATAATGAGCATTAAACTCCATTGGAGCTGCCAAGGGTCATATCATAGACGCTAAGATCATGGCCTGATTGATGTTAAATAATTGCACAGAATAAATAATTGCTGAATATTCTGACATTTCGGCTGTATCAGACTGGATATGTTGCCGTACCTACAATGCTACCGGACCACCCCACAGCGCTATAATTTAAATGATCACTTATCTTCCCTCTTTAAGCTGCATGTATAACTATCATCATCAGCCATGGTCAATCCACTGCTGCATTAAGCTCCCCCCCCCACCCCCCAGTCATCTTTCATGACCTGCCATGTAACAATCCACCTAGCAACCGCACACGATCCTGATTTCATCGCTGCATCTCCCTGTGGTGGATGTCCTTTTGGACTCGTTCCGTTCATCGTCATTATATCAGTTTATTTATGAAAATTTTTGTTATCTCGTGTAGTGAGATTAGTAGGCTTACGCAACTGAATTGATGAAGTCACTTTCATTTTCCTCAGATGCGTATAGGCAGATGACCTTTATCACTGGGTAAGAGCGCATTGAGACCAAAAATATATTTTCTCAAGGGAGACCTGGGATAAAATAAATGCAGCAAATCAGCAAAATAATTCCAACGTGTGAACACAAACCGCACAAAAGCCATTGGTTATGCAAGGGAACTAAGTATTGGTGTTAATGGCGATGATGATTATGAATTTGACCTGTGCAGTTCCTCCATATAGGTGAATTGATGGTCGATAATCCGTTTTTAATACTCGATAGATTTGAGTAATTTAAGGCAAAAGGTTCACAACTGCCGGGAATCAGAATTCTCCGTCCATATTTAAAGCAGCATCGACTGCTCGGTGGCATGCTAATGGCTCAGCCACGGTGATGAGTGCAGCTGTTCTCAGGAGAGAGTGCATTACACCACATCAGCGGCATATTGTTAGTGATCATAGCCCTGCTTAAAATCTGTCAGCAATTAGACAATTACCAAACTAATGAACACGTCCTTGTCGCGAACAGTTACAACGGTGATCCAATACACCGCGAACTCGTCACCAGTCCAGAGTTTGCGTGCTTGCTTCAACAAATGTGCTGCTTGATGTTGGTATGTAAAGGCAATACATTGGCTGAGGGCTACAAGTGACTTTGTGTTTATGTGCGGAGACGGAATTTATTCTGCATATGCATGATCCTCCAGTGACCCTGTATATAAAGCAAAGGGAAACATCCTACACCGTTGTATTTTCTCGTTCAAACGAACCAGCTAAATATATTGTCAATTCTGAACTGAGGTTTTGTTGTTGACATGACATGCCTATTTTTTTTATTTATGAATTCCTTCTTTTTGATGCATCTCGTGGCTTGGTCTCATTGACTGCACAAAGCCGCTATTCGAAAATAATAAATCCCACAAGGCCTTCACGAGAGGTTGTTGGAAGCGCGGGGATTGACCGTGAGTAGAGAGGCAGTGCAAAATAATGATGACGTGAAATTGTGCGTGGAACCATGGACATCACACGCGCCCTTGGTGACGCGAGGCTTGGTTTGACTCGGCGCTTGACCTAAGAGCAGAACTATTTCATGGCCTCGTGAAGAGAAATGGCTTTGGATGTAACAGTGATCGGGTTACTTGCTTGTTTCTGACTTGTTTTGATATTTTAACCCCAAGTTATTTGAATCCCTTACAGTTTAAATCAGGTTAAGTTTGGCTCAAATATCCAATAAAAACAAACAATTATGCCAACTGCCCTCATTTTTGTTGCAGTGGGGTTCACAAAAAACCCCCATCATGAGCATTGTTTACTTTGCACTGCATTCTGGGCGCAATTGCTGGGTGGAGGCGTTCAGTGGTTTTAACGAGAATAATTTGTGTATGTTTATTTTATTATCATTATTACAAATCGTGGAATATTAGGTGGATATCCTTTCATTTTTTTAATTAACTTAATTCCTTAGGACCCTTTGAGAGACTGCATTTAGTGTCAGATACTAGTTAATATTCATATTACAAAAAAAAAAACTTTACTGGATGTGTTGTATCTGCATCAGTTCCAGATGAGAACATTCTTGAAAGCTTCATTAGCAGCATGAATCAAAATAATATTTCGGAATCCACAGTTTGCGTGCAATGCGTTTGATGGGAAGAATTTAAGAATGTCTACCTCCTTTCGCAACCTCCGACGTTCTTTGCACGAAAACCACGGGGAGGCGTTAATTACCACGCGGTGATTGCCTCGAGCACCGTATACAATCCACAAGCAGTCAATTATATCGTTCTAATAATACACTCTCTCAAATACGGCTTCATATTTTCAGCCCGTTGCTTGAAGAGAGAGAGAGTAATAGTGTAATATCTGGCATTGGATGCTTGATATAATCGCGTCACAGTGTTTTACTGCATCATTGTAAACTCCAGCACAGCACACGGCCATCTGCTACAAGGCCATATCTTTTTCTCTTTTATTGTTTATACGATTCTCACACGGCAGGATTTTTCTCGTGTGTGGGAATATGTTTTGCTATTTTACGTTTTTTACTCCTCATTTGCCAACTGATGGGGGGGGGGGGGGGGGGGGGTCTTTAGAGTGTGGCGTCATAGAATTGTGAATGTTCCAAGCAGTTGGAAATGTATCAAGAGACCCAAATCATTGCTTACCTGACCCCCGCAGTATGACTTTTGTAAGTCATACACTAAGCAGCAAATATTGCTTTGCAGTAAGCAGCATACTTGATGAATTCGTTGATATGATTAGAATACAGGAAGGCTGCGAGGGTAATGTCTGTCTCTGTCTTTCAGGATTTGCTCTTCAGCGTCTGTGCTCTGAACATCATCTCAGTGGCCGTGTGCGCTCTTGCGACCGCCACACGCTGCATGCAGATGATCTCCTCTGATGTCATACACATTGTGAGTAATGCCTCGCTCTTCTTACCGGCTGCCACATCGTCAAACAATGTCCAGGTTGTCTCCCCGGCGGTCCCGTTGCTCTGCGTGCCCTTACTTTACTGCGATTGATTTGTTCACCCTTTTAAGCGCATCGCGTGTACTTTCTTTTCAGTTTTTTTTTGTCGCGTGTTCAAAGTTGCCTTTTACTGCATTCCCGTGCATTTAGAATGCTGCCCATTTATCCGTGGGTGTTGTCCCCCCCCCCCCCCCCCCACTGCACCTCCCGATTAGCGCGTTTGGCTACGAGCGGTGCGAAAGAAGTTCAACATCCATCCATATTAAAACTAGAAAAAATATTGCTTAATGGGGAGTTGAATATTTATGAATGAAACTCGTGTCGAAAAGGTTTATGTTTTGAGAAGGGCTTGTTGGCCAATTTAAATATTTTGCAAATGTTCGTTCATTTACTCATCTATTAATCACCGAGAAACAGTTCTGCGCGCCGCAGTAATCTCGCCCGCTCACTTATTCTCTAGCGTAGCCGGGGTGCACTCATTGTCTGTAGCAGTGCTCTGTGCGCCAGGCGAAACCACCTTCTAAGTCACTTGGAGGGAAATAAAATGCAAATAGCGTATCCTTTAGAGCAGGGGTCCCCAACCCCCTGGCCGCGGACCGGTACCGGCCTGTGTCCTGATAGGAACCGGGCCGCACAGCAGCATGAGGTGAGCAGTGAGCCCACACGTGGCCCGCCCCCATTGTTTTATTGACCACTTCCATCCGCGCCTCTTTCCCGCACCGCGCACTTGTCTCAGTCACAGTGTTGGTCAGCCCACAAGCTCTAACCCCTAGCCAACATGAGAGGGGGAAAGACCCAATGATGAACCCCCACTCCCCCCCGCCGGTCTGTGAAAAAATTGCCTTCCACGAAACCGGTCCCTGGTGCCAAACAGGTTGGGGACCGCTGGGTTAGAGAGAAGACACCCAAACTCATACCAAGGTGTCCTGTCGACACTACCGCAAAATACACGTGCTATATAATCTGAAGTTCTTGGAGCATTTTATACTCAAGATTATTGTTAGTCTCTGGCCCACTCGACCCTGCCGTTCTCTAGTCGAGACCACGAGCGTTCGACAGCACTCTGCGCTCCGCGTGGCCATTCCAATTCTTACCAAAACCTCGTGACTTGCCTGTGCGCAGCAAGCGTGACAATTCACTCCCCTGATATTACAGACACGGGGTCATTCTTTTCCTAGAAATGCTGGTGGAAGGTGAAGGCGCAGCGCTGCAATAGCTTGCACACGCAACTGCTGGCAGAAGGGTCTTCACTAGAGGGAGCTCTAGATAAGGTATTTTGGCCTACTCTTCGATTCTGGCCAGATGTCTTGCAAGAGGCGAGAGTTGAACTTCTTTCGCGCCATACGTGGCCAACCGTGCTAATCGGAGGTGCGGGGGAAGAGCAGCAAGTACCCGCACTCTACCCCAGCACACGTGACCGTGATGTACTAATTTACTAAATGAATACTGCGGGGTGGACAGAGGTGCGGGCGGTGGGGAGGAATTTCGGATCATTGTTTGGAATACGGTGCAGGAATTTTGAGACATCCAATGTGCTTAGCAGAACACGTTATGGAACGTAGAGTTTCTGATTATAATAATAATGATGATGTAACCTGACAAGGAGGACTGCTTCTGTCGAAGCTTGGGAGACCGTGGCATTATAAGGAATGGAATGGAATTGTGTTGCGGAAGGAAGTTGAGTCGTGCCATCTAAAAGTCAGTGTTGATTGCACGTATCTATATATTTCATCGTAATTCCTAGGGAAAAATAGCACCTCGTGCAGAATTTCACCTCAAAAGTGGAATACATTTTAATATTAATGCGCGCATATTTCCTCAATCATTTAAAAATTACACGGTATGTGACATGCATATGGGTGCATGTTCAAAGTTACATTTATTACATAAATCTTACATGAGGCAGCATGACAAAAAAACATTGTAATAACTAAAACCTACATTGCCTAACCACTCGTACACAATTTAAAGGTTAAACCTTATTTTTGTACATTTATTAGCTCTATCTTCTTAAATAAGTAATTATTAATTACCTGTTGTTTTTTTCTTCTTCACGCTATAGACTCCCGTCATGAATAACCAAAGAGAGTGGCATGTTTAATTCAGTTCATTTGTTTTTTTCCTGCTCCAGCCTCGATTTTGATTGGCTGCGGGAGGAGGGCAGCCGATATTTGAGCGACTACTCTTAAGGGAGCCGATGGGCGCCGCTTATGTCAATGACCGCGACATATTATTGTGCAATCTGCTTGACTTAAAGATATTCAATTATTTTCACAAGAAACTATGGACCCCCTCCCCTCCAAATTAGTTAATTACAAAACTCACCGTACAGCTGATCGACACAAATGTACATATATTCTGTTATACCAGCGAGTTTAGCTTGTGTTCGTGTTGCTTGTGCGTTTATGGGCTTCCACGCGAGATTTCCTTTGCGCAGTCAAATCCACCGGTGCAGTGGCGGCTCCCTTTAATGGACTATGCCTCGTCTTGGTTCTTTCGGTAAAGTCACGTAGAAGGGAAATAATACAAATAATACAAATAAAACATGATAAATTCATTCTCACAACGTTTCGGCCACAACGCAAGCAGCCGTCCTCAGGTGAAGACCAGGTGTGTCGGGGAGACAGCGTCTGAATGAAACACCACCACGCTTGGAGCGTATATTTAAGCTGGGTCGGAAGGGGGGAAGGGCGCCTTGACAAAAAGAATTTGCATATCAAGAGGAATTTAGCATATTTATGGGAAAGGCAGGTATGTGATTAGTTACTACTTGCGAAATGCGTAAGAGGTGGGCGGGGGGTTTCAAAGTCATATTATGCCCGTGCATTATGCAGGATTAGCAGCATCAAAGGGAGGGGATAGGGGTAGCATTAATAAAGGGAAGGAATGTTAATAATGGACTTTGCCTGCTCGCTCTCGTTTGCTGTCTCCTTGGTCCCACTACCTCTCCAGTTTGTGCCGCACCGCGCGGACCAGAACTCCGACGACTGCCCAAACGCGCGCGATTCCATCTTCCAGGGCGAGGACTTTGACGACTTCATTCCTCCCGTCCCACCGCCTCCTTACTACCCGCCGGCGTACGGCCACACAGCACTGCCCGAGTCACTCCGGTATTGTCGAGATGTCGTTTTGAGCCAGTAAAAGTGGAAAAGGGGAATTTTAAGTGACGTGCGAGGAGAAAAGTACAGGTTGGTGACCGTTTGAGGCTTGATAGGCCGAGCAGCAGGTCGATTGACTTGGAGCATCGCCTCTCGTTATGAATGACATTCCCTGCCCCCTGCCATCCGCAGTGTTTAAATTAATTCACATTGAATCTTGACTTAAAGCTTTCGTGACTGCAGGAATTCATATTCTTGGCTCTTTCGGTAAAGTCGAAAGACCCAAGGATATACCTTACCTTGCTTTTGCGCTTCGATGATTTTTTTTTATTTCACTGGTTTGTCATGTTCACATTCGCGCAACGTTCGCATGGCTTCTTTTCCCGCATGACTTTTTTGGGGAAGATTCTGTGCTGAATATTAAGAGTGAATGTTGCCCCCCCCCCATATTATCTCACGCTCGTCTCCGTTGAAATCGAGCGTCGTTGTCTCAGTGGGTTCTCACCTCGTTCCGAATTCAAAGGGACGCTTCGCACGATGTTAAAGATGCGTCGATTAGGCTACGTAACAAATCGGTGACTTACGCCTATGCTACATGGATCAATGTACGAGTGAGCAGCTGTTATTTACAGTTTACTTTATTCTTCACGTACTAATCGAGTGAACAACAAACAATACAAGTGACGCGGTTAAACTCGGAGAAAAAAAATAACAACCTATTCTTGAATCGAATCACGACCCCCAAATCGTGACAGTTCATTGAATCTTTGCTGGGGTGTGAACCGTTGTCATCACCGGCCAAGATCAATCCGCTGCTGAACGAACGCCCGCCCAAAAACCATCGCCACGCTTCACCGTTCTGCAAGGCAACAATACGCCTAATTCTAGATTTGAAGCTTTCGTTACTGCAAGGATTCATGTTCTAAGGTTTTTTCGGTAAAGTCACGTAGGTAAAAAATTTCAATTAATAAAAGTAAAATAAAAATAAAATAAAAATCACGACGTTTCGGAGGCAACACAAGCCTCCGTCTTCAGGTGGAACTGTCACAGCACGACAGCTGTATCAAGTGAGAGAAATTCCAAGAAAACAGTCGTGCTGTGACGGTTCCACCTGAAGACGGAGGCTTGTGTTGCCTCCGAAACATCGTGATTTTTATTTTATTTTTATTTTACTTTTATTAATTTTAATTTTTTACCTACGTGACTTTACCGAACAAAAACCTAAGAAAAACAAGACGCCTGGCACCCGCACACGCAACGCACGAGTTGATTTCGTCACCCCGTCTCCTTGGTGGAAGTCCTCTATGGGGCTCGTCCTCTCTGTCTTATTATTAGTTTCAAGCATTGGCCACAGTCGCTCCTGGCCACGTGCTTGTCCCGAGCCCTCTCACCTTTCCTAACGGCGTAATTTGACGTTCAATTTGTCTCTCGCTAAAATTCCTAGCAAGCGCATTTTCATCCTTCCTTGCACACTCTTCAGCTTTTATTCCAGGTTTGCTTCCCCCATTTGTTTGCGTTTTGCGTTTCACATATCGCGACTGATATAAGGCACATCAGTATATTTATTTTCACGAAATTCAGTTCACCCCCAAATTCATATCTATAAATACGCATGGAAACACATGTATGTAAAACTTTACATATTCATAAATATGCACGGAGCCAAAACGACATCATTTGTTTTGGCAGCACGTTGTTGCCCTGTGCATATTTATTCACGCGGCACTTATTTGCAATATTAATAAAAACCAAAACATTTGGGGGCATATATTACTCTGGGTTTGTTACGCGCATTTCCCTCTCTTTGATGTCTGTTTTGGGTTCTTGGATTAAAAAAATTGACAAAAAAACAACAACAAAATATTAAAACCGAAACCAAAAGACGGCAAGGCCTGATGCTAATCCCCGTGCGGGCTTGCTGACCCGTCCCACCATCCCTCTCGTGGGGGATCGTGAACCTCCTCTTATAGACGCCATACAACAATACAAGAAATCTACGGCGCAGAGAATCAGCGTTTGCTGCCTATGGTGGAACACGAAACAGTGTCTTCCCTTGTGTGCACGTGGGTCTGTGTGCGTGCCCCCCCCCCCCGTATCCACGCGTACCGTATTTATTTTATGTCACGGTCCAATTCAGTTGACGTTGTGCAGTGTTCTCACTATTTAATTCATTATTGTTTAGAGCAACATCGTTTTGTCTCGCAGCCCATTGGAAATGTTCTGCTGTTCACGTTGTGTTCACTGCTAAGACAACATTTGATGAAGCAATGGGTCAAATGCAGTGGCTGGCTGGAATAGACTGATTATCTAAAGTGCTTCATTTGACCAAAGCTCCCCGGGTTTAGCAAGAATAAGAAAGAACAGTCAAAAGTAATATTGACTTCACAGTATTCTCTCTGTGTTTTAGGAGATGGTAGAATACATGTTTTATTCCCAACGATGAATACACGTCTGTTACCTTTCTTAGCGGCACTTTAGATAATTTCCGATTTAGAAAAAAAATACATTCCACGTGGAGTTAAAACGATGTTTTTCAAATAATGACGCGTTTGAGAGTGAGATGTAAATTAGAAGGGTGGCCAACATATTGTGTTAGCATCTTAGCCATAAGTAAATTCGCATTAATGTGAACGTTACAATAATCACACTTTTTTTGCTTATCGCAGCTGACGGGATTGAAAACTGTTTAAATGGTTTTTGTTATAACATCTTTCAACAACTCTTGCAGCTTCCGATAGATTTTGGATGTTGCCGGTTTCGTTGTTTCCCAACATCGATCTTAATAAATGTGATGTGCATGCCAAGAGAGACATGATTGTATTAACACCGTGTCACTAAGAATTGTTTATGAGGTTGACTATTAACATTGCGTTGCGTACTCTGACACGACCTCACTATTAATACCTCATCCACCGCTGTGCAATCAGGCAACGCACATTCGCTCACATTTTGACATGAAAAACAAGAACATTTTAAGAAGCACAGATGTAATCCCATTGTCGTGCATAAACCAACATCGAATAAACATCGATGTGTGCTCTGCTGATCCACTCAATATACACACATTTTACCTACATTTCTTTATTTTTAACGAAATATGCGGTAAATGTGTGGCGGTACAAATGAATTGGCGAGTGCTCTGCTCGACACAATCATGATTGCGTCAAGTATGTGACTAATATCTGACCGAGTATAATACGAGATTATCGTTCTATAAACAAAAGCACAATTATCAAACATACGAATAATCCTCGTCAAACAGCATCCGGCTGAAGACATTGGATTTTCTTTATCATCAGACTAGCTGTACTACCCGGCTTCGCCCGGGACTTGTATCTACCACGGCCGGCCGCCTTTGTCTCCCCAGTGGCGATGTTAATACGCTACAGTAGTTAAGTTACTCGTTTGAGGCAGAGTCGACCTAGGGGAGGTTCAAATAATCGTCACCGGTGGTGGCCGTGAGCGGGAATCGAACTGGGTTTGCCGGGTTGGTAGCGCAGCGTAGCGTTAAGCACTACACCCACCGCTCCTCACACACCACACACGCACAGACACACACACAGACACACACACAGACACACGCAGACACACACAGACAGAAACACACACACAGACAGCACGCTAACCACTACACTACCGCTCCCCACACACCACACACGCACACACACAGACACACACACAGACACACACACAGACACACACACACAGGCAGCACGCTAAGCACTACACTACCGTTCCCCCTACACAACACACGCGCGCGCGTCCATAGGTACACATACACGCGCTTGCTGCAGACACACACGACTTTCAGGGTGCGCACGGCAGTAAACGACTGAAATAATAAAGCGGCAATGCTGTGTAAGGAACGCCTTAGACCCGCATTATACATTTGTGTAATGCGAGCGTAAACACACAAACACACACAAACACATACACAATACACACACACATACATGCAGACACACAGACAGACACATAACACACATACATACACACACATACAAACACAGAAACACATGCACACACATACATAGACACACACATACATACACACGAACACATCCAGACGTACATACATACATACAGGCACGCAGACATACACATAAACACATACAAAAAAACCCACATACATACACACACACATACATACACACAAACACATGCACACACATACATACACACATGCATACAGACACACAGACATACACATAAACACATACACACATACACATGACCCGGCTTCGCCCGGGACTTGGATCCACCACGGCGGCAAAACCGACATACATACACACACAGACATACACACAAACACATACACACACATACATACACACATGCATACAGACACACAGACATACACATAAACACATACACATGACCCGGCTTCGCCCGGGACTTGGATCCACCACGGCGGCAAAACCGACATACATACACACACAGACATACACACAAACACATACACACACATACAAACACACATGCATACAGACACACAGACATACACATAAACACATACACATGACCCGGCTTCGCCCGGGACTTGGATCTACCACGCCCAGCCGCCTTTGTCTCCCAAGTGCCGATGTTAATACGCCACACCAGTTACTCGTTTGAGGCTGAGTGGACCTAGGGGAGGTACAAATAATCGTCACCGGTGGTGGCCGTGAGCGGGAATGGAACTGGGTTCGCCGGGTTGGTAGCGCAGCGTAGCGTTAAGCACTACACCCACCGCTCCTCACACACCACACACGCACAGACACACACACAGACACACGCAGACACACACAGACAGACACAGACAGACACACACACACACAGACAGCACGCTAAGCACTACACTACAGCTCCCCACACACCACACACGCACACACACAGACACACACACAGACACACGCAGACACACACAGACAGACACAGACAGACACACACACACAGACACAGACAGCACGCTAAGCACTACACTACCGTTCCCCCTACACAACACACGCGCGCGCGTCCATAGGTACACATACACGCGCTTGCTGCAGACACACACGACTTTCAGGGTGCGTAAGGCAGTAAACGACTGAAATAATAAAGCGGCAATGCTGTGCGAGGAACGCCTTAGACCAGCAACACATTTGTGTAATGCGAGCGTAAACACACAAACACATACAAACACATACACACACATACATATACACACATACACACAGACATACACATACACACAAACACACACATACATGCACACAAACACATACACAATACACACACACATACATGCAGACACAGACAGACACATAACACACATACATACACACGCATACACACACATACATAGACACACACATACATAGACACACACATACATACACACAAACACATGATGCCCCGCCGCCTTTGTCTCCCCAGTGACGATGTTCACACACGACAGCAGTTACGCTTTTGAGGCTGAGTGGACCTAGGGGAGGGCCAGGTCCGTTTCAAATAATCGTCAGCGGTGGTGGGCGTGAGTTGGAATCGAACTGGGGTCGCTCAAGCAGCTTAATGACTGTTTGTACAAAGAACATATAAAGAATCGATTATAATAACCAGGCAAGAGTCCACATTATAGACTGCCAGTACACGCACTCAGCTTCATAAGCAGGCTAGAGTGTACATGATAGAGTGGCAGTACGCTCACCGAGCTTAATAAGCAGGCTACAGTGTACATGATAGACTGGCAGTACGCTCACCCAGCTTAATGAGTATTTGTACAGTGAACATTAAAGTAATCGATTGTTGGCGCGTTGGGTTTAAAAGTAATATTAATAGCACACATTGTGGTGGGGGTGTAGTGAAGAGTAGGAAAAACTTTGATGAATTTACCTCAGAGTGGCGTGGTGGGTGTCGAGGCCTAGTAGCGTGCAAAGCCTGCGGCCTCGCCTAAAATTGTCGGCTTGGAAGAGGCAGGGTACGGGTGGCGTTCCTTCCCCCCCCACCTAGCGCTCCAACAATACTGTGTAATGGCTATTATTTAATTAAATACGGAGCTTATGAAAGCGGCGAAGGCGTGGCTAGCCGTTGGCAGGGGCAACCGCCGTCCAATGAAACTGCAGCCCTTGGCGAAGGCGTGGCTAGCCGTTGCCAGGTCCAATGAAAGCGGCGAAGGCGTGGCTAGCCGTTGCCAGGGGCAACCGCCGTCCAATGAAAGTGCGTATGGGCCAAAGTCCACACACACACACACAGACAGACAGACATGAACGATTTTATATATATAGATGCGCAGAGGGCTGTCATTGACCTTCAGGGAACCTTGAGTCATTAATTAGTTGAATTGTCAGACATGCAACGCAGACTTCCAATGCCTTCTTAGTTTTTAAAGTGTGCTCTGTCACCTCGACTCGTGTCCTTGCACCCCTTCCAACGTTGCCATGTCGCAGTATCACATCGCACCATACACTACACCATAGACTACACCATAGACTACACTATCGACTACACCACAGACTACACACAGACTACACTATACCCTACACAGTGCCAGTACACAAACCGATCGATGCTGCTGCCTGACTGTACGTTGCTCTTCTTGCATGGATTTCCTTGATTGATAAATTGATTCACATCAAGTGCAGCATTATCAGTGATGACAAACTGCTCTTCCCCGCCCCCCCTCCCCCATCAAATCTCACTCTTCGATCAAACAGAATTCAATATCAGTTGATCAGCTTTCATTTGCATTGTTTCTATATCCTTAAACGAGAAGCTTCTCACAGTTTAATCTTTCTTGACTTGACTAGCGCCGATGTGAAACTGCCCCCCTCATTACTCGTGCCACTACTTTGTGATATCGTTTGATCAGTGTGAGATTGGCTTTTTGCTTTCATGCGTCCTGTGTCAGTGTTCAATCGGAGCACTGCCCATACGAAATAAACAAACTCTCATACAGTGGAGGTTCAGGGGCTCAAAGCGCTGAGATCTCGAGTTTGAATCTGGGTAGCAACCTGTTTTTCAGAAGGTTTCTCAAACGTAGCAATTCGTGGTCTTATCTAAAACCACAATGACTGCAGACTGCACAAAAACAAATTTGTGATTTCAACTAATTTGGATGAATTCCAGCTCTGAGAATTTGATGTGACATGTTGCCGAGAGCACAATTTGGAATTCAAATTGACTACTTTATTAAAGTTTAAAATGTAAAATAATCGCTAGGGTGAACTTTTCATTGGGTGATGCTTATCATTACTGGCAAGCCCGTGGTCGAAATTTCAAATCCTACAGTGAGGGACAGTCTCTGCATTGAACAATTTTATACCCTACTGAAAACAGCATAAGTCACTGCCCTATATGTACTTCTCGGATCCTAATGTTATATCATGATTATTAATCCATAAGCTCTTAACCTAATGTTGCAGCACCCAGACATAAAAACCTCAATATAGCAATGAATTAAATTGCCCATTAGATATGCTGTGTGGTTTAAATTAAAGACGGGGGGGGGGGGGGTTGTCACGTCCACAGTTCTGAGGGTCACCTCGCTGTTTAGCGGAGGACTTGAGCCAGGGCTGCCGCCTCGTGCCCCTGGAGATGGACGCGGTGTTTGATGCCGGTAGGAGGACTGAGGAACGCAGCGGATGGAGGGGGGGGGGGCAGGACCGGGGCGTCAATGGGTTGCTTGCCCGGTCTGTGTACAGGGTCGGCAGGTTGGCCCTCACGCACTACTCCATCGGCCACGTGTACGGAGCTCGCCTGGGCAGTCCGGACCCATGTTTTGCGGGCGATCTCCCACCGCCGTACGAGGCCGTGGTGAGCCAGCCATCTCTTCAACAGGCAAGCGGAGCTCCCACTTACGCCAACTCTCACCGCAAGCCGCTGTTGTTTTGTTGTGTGGGACCCACATATTCAATAAAGTTCAAGTTCATTTATTAGGTATAGCCCGGTGAGCCATTCGGCTCTTGAATCGGGTGCAACCGCAACAAACAAAAAACAAAAACATGAACAAAAAACATCTTAAAGTGAATATGTGACTAAGTGCAAACAGAAAATCCAAGAAAAGACAGCAAAATATTGCAGAAAAAAACACCGTACACCAACGCTGTGTGCAAAAATCTCAGTGGAATGCAAGTCAAACAACAACAACAACCACAAGACAACTTAGATTAAGGCCATCAGTCTAACTCTGTACTACAACAAACAAACATGGCTAAATTGGTGTCTGTATGGAGACAATTGTATGTGTTTTGAACTTCTTTCGCGCCGTACGTAGCCAACCATGCTCATCGGAGGTGTGGGGGGAAGGACAACTAACTGAACACAAATAGAAGTTCAAAAGAAATGAGTTTTTCAATCTAGATTTAAAAGTGCACGGCTCCAGTCGCTTCCAAATATCAGAAGGAGGAGCAGTCCAGACGGCCGCAGGAGCACATCTGAAAGCGTGCGATGTGGTGACCGTCTTTGTTCGACGTCGAGCCAAAAGCCACTGCCAGGATGACCGGAGTTTGTGTGATGGTTTTGCTGCATGACATCCCACGTTTAACTCCACGTTTCCTCGGGAACTTATTGGAGCAATTCGGTTCATTGGGCATTGTACCAAGCAATGCTCAGTTACCCAAGAAGCTCTCAGCAGCACGTGGAGTGAAACGTCGGACATCGTGCCAAACAACACGGAGTGCAATCCTAGAACACTTTGTGGAACTATCCAGCGCAACCATGGACATGTACGAAATATTATGTTCACTTGCTGTTTTGTATGTCATTCATTATCATCATGAAAGGGAACATTTAGCCTTTGGCCCGTAATTATTGTAATGGTTATCATACTTTACCCAGGAAAGCTTCAGCTAATTTCAGGGTTATCTTTGAAGAAGATTCTGCTTGCGAACTTTACACAATCATTTAGACATGTTTTTAACAGATTTATCAGCGATTTGAAATCCAGCACTATCCGTTAGAGGGCATCTCGTCGCACTGCCCATTAGCGTCTCACACAGGCCATAGTCTTTACACGATCCACAAACCCTGCCTCCAATACAGGAATGCTCCTCTATGTGTGACATAGTAATTAATTTTTTATTTCAATAATTTTTAGCTTGACTGCAGTTGCTTAATGTTGAATTTTGGGTTTTTTGTTTGTTCCCGTGTAACATTAAACAGACGTCAAGTTTTGAAGATCAGATGACGGACGCTTCTTATAGTAACAGCAACTACAACAGGACAAATGAAGGTAATTGTGTTTTCACATTAGACTGCGGGAACTATGCATGCTTATGTCAAATGTTGGTTATTTATTCTAAAGCAGTCCTCTTAATTAATTTAAAAGCAAATCGAGGTTGATGGCAGTCTGTAGATATTTCAGATTAAAACAAAAAAGCACTTGGAAATGCCCCCATTGATGTGGAGCCTTCGGCAACTTCAAACAAAATCATACAACTGAAGACATATGCACGAAAATCACATCTGCTGTAAAATGGACATCGAAAGACCCTTTGGCAACATTTCTAGAAAGGTAAGCCTAGGATGGCACGATTCGGACTATAATCTTCTATAGTGTCTGATTAATGGTGCGGCTGAACACTCTTGTTGGCTTTAATTTTCGATTTAAAGCTTTCGTGACTGCAGGGATTCATCTTCTTGGTTCTTTCGGTAAAGTCACGTAGAAATAAAATAAAAAAATAAAAAATAAAACATAATAAAATAATTCTCGCGACGTTTCGGCCACAGCGCAAGCAGCCGTCTTCAGGTGGAGAACAGGTCTGTCGAGGAGACAGAGACGTCTGCTTGCGTTGTGGCCGAAACGTCGTGAGAATTATTTTATTATGTTTTATTTTTAATATTTTATTTCTACGTGACTTTACCGAGAGAACCAAGAAGACTCTCGTTGGCATTGGGTGCACAGATTGTTGAATGGTTATAATCCGAAGAAGCCCTTCCATCAGAAAACCTTAAAATATATTTCATTGATCTGATCATTTTCACTCTGTCTCTTCTTTTGACGCTCTTGTGGGCATGCATTTATGGAGTTTTTGTTGGTGGCACACATTTAGCATTTTTGGTAGACATTGAACACGTGCAATTATTTGTCCAAGTCACGCAGTGTTAATTACGAATGAAAGTAAGCAGGAAAAAACCGATGAGATTCACTTGCCACTGGTATCATCTACAGACGGCAATGGTATGCTGATATTATCTGCAGATAAAGCTGCAGCTGCAGCAAGAACATTATATACACACAAAACACGAAATCAATAAACTACAATAATTATGTAAGATTAAAATAATTCTCTCCATTATTAAATGTAAACTGGCTCATGCTCCTCTAAGTTGTCCATAAAAAGTCCACTTTCCGATGGCGAAGGCTGGAGTCTCTATAAAACTACCTCTGCCGCAAAGAAGGAACTCCTGAGTAACTTTCGAAAAGGACAATTGTCCGAGATGCTCATCAGTCTCACCAAGTTAGAGGCTAGCCATGTCGTTGTGTTACGGATGTCATCTGATGTAATACACCTCGCGAAGACCCTTTCATAAGAGCCCCTTGAGCTCTCATCCAGAAATAAAGAAAATATCAGTTTCCGCACTTAATTCGGAATGTCTGACCAGTTTGGGAAAAGTAGGCCAAAGACCCTATATTGGGGTTCTCTAGAGCTCCCTCTAGTGGAGGCTCTACCACCAGCAGTGACGTGAGTGTGTGACGACAGGGCTGCACCGTTACCTTCACTCATAACGAGGGCTTTGCGAAGAAGGCTTGCTCTAGTTATAGTTTGTGGTCTACTTATTTTGCGGTGGCGAGATGTTTACTGACTCGCCTGGTATGCAGGAGGTCACGGGTTCGACCCGACCTTGACGCCTGCTGTATAATTGGAGTTTACATACATCTCTCCCCGTGGTCGCGTGGATTTTACTCCGGGTCTTTCGGTGTTTTCCCCTTCACATTTAGAATCAACGTGCGTTCAGAGTATTTGTCTGAGATAAATTCCCACGTGATCAGCCACTTCGTTGAGCCATCATATGTGGCCGGGTCGCTTCTGTAAAAGAAGCTAATAGCTCAGTTGGGCCTTACCTGGTAAATAAATAATTATATAATTTTGCATGGTTTTAAAATCGAGTGCAACCTTAATCTTTCGCGTGCGCACGCCTCCACGGCCAGAGAGCCTGAGTCCGGGAGGGGCGTCGGAGGAGCTGGGAGGCATGCCGGACGAGGACTGCGGCACGGAGGCGTCATGCTCCATGGCGGCGCACGGCTCCCCGCCCTCGGGCCAGGAGCTCTCCCCGCCGTGCAGCCCCGCCGGCGCGCGGTCCTCCGCGACGGCAACTCTTTCACGCGGCGGCGGCGGCAGCAGCAGCAGCAGCCTCGCGCCGGCACCCCCGGGGGACGCTAGCGGCACCCCGCGCACCCCGCGCACCCCACGCACCCCGCGCAGCCCGCGCAGCCCGCGCAGTCCCGCGCGCCGGACTTCTCGGGGCGACGACGACGGCGACGACGCCGCCGGCGGCTCAGGTGACACGACTCCGAGCACGGACGACGCGCGGTCAGGCGAGCCGTCCTCGGCCTACAGCACCGCACGCACCGGCACGGCGCCGAGCAGCCCCGGCAGCCCGGACGAGCGCAGCCTGCCGCTCGACGAGCCGCCCTCGGCGCGGGCCGGCCGGGCCGTCGTGGCGAGAGACGCGCGGAGCTTCCTCCCCGGACGCTGCCGGCGCGTCGGCGGCGTCGGCGGTGGCGGACTGCCCCGGCCGCGGAGGCTCGCGTCCAGAGTTCTGAGGGTCACCTCGCTGTCGGCGGAGGACGTCGGCCAGGGCTGCTGCATCGTGCCCCTGGAGATGGACGCGGCGTTCTATGCCGGTGGGAGGACCGAGGAACGCAGCGGAGGAGGGGGTGGCAGGACCGGGGCGTCAATGGGTTGCTTGCCGGGCAAGCTCAGCTTTTCGCGGCTGAGCAGGTCGACGAGTGACCCTTGCTCCCAGTCGTCGGCAACCCTCGGTAAGCCGCGGCTCGTCGGGAGGTGAATTCTGCGGTGGCGGCAAAGTGAGCCAGGTTTGGTCGTGGTGACTCAGTGGTTTGGACGTTTGTGTTCGTTGTGTTCCATCATTTCCTCTGCAGTGTTTATGTTAAATGCGGTGAGCCACCTTAGTGACCTTGGTTGGATATCGGTTATAAAGTATGTGGCGGTCAAGCCATACAATTAGGAATGTAAAGTCTGCGTGTTCCTTCCCACTTGCATTTAGCAAATAATAATATATTACACTGTTATGCATTTAGCTCATTTAATGCATCATTGTAAAATAATAAAATGGGAAAACATCATGAAAGTTATTACCGAAACTCATGGTTTTAAAATGGTATACTTCCTATGTTTGTCTTATATTGTTGAAAACATTCATATCAACCTTTGTGTTATAAATAAACGTAACCTGGGCTGTGTGTGTGCGTGCCTTCTGTAGTTGCCGAGGATGAATCGGAAGGCACGAGTGTGGATTTGAGTGATCTCTCAGGAGGTGGGCTGGTTTTATTATCAAGCTGAAAACAAAGTAGCTAAACACGGACATGAGTATAACCTAATTTGTGTCATCTGCGAGAAAGGGTTGCCCAGTACAGCGATTTAAATCTTCAGAATAACCCTAACCCAATTGACATTGAATGTTCACAGCATGTTAAGTTAGTAGCGCATATCCTCCATTAAATGTATCCCAGTGCGAGGGTTCCCATGCAGATCAAAGCACCCACAATTTCTCATCCATCTGGACTACCAATTAAACTCCAATTTAAATGGCCAGGTGGTGCTGCGACTGAGCATTTAACCTCAATCTGACGCCAGTTGCAGGGGTTGGCTCAGCCGGTCATCTACCTGGAGTTCATCATACATGTTGTGGCAATTTGTGCTAAGTCAACACTGCATTTGAACGGTTCTCCTACAGATGCTTGTTCTGTGGAGAGACTGGCCCTCGCCAAACGAATCTGAAGTTTCTATATTCATATGGAACCGCGAGTGAAAATAAATGCCGTCCAATTTGGACGATTGAGCCAGGCTCCCACTTTTTGTCATTGGAGTCTCGAACAAGGCTCTCTCTGCACTCTGCATCTCCCTCCCTCCTCCCCACCCACCCCAGGGATGAAATCTCTTCGTATAACCGAGGGCAGCCGACAGTCCAGCACGCAGGGGAGCCGCGACCACCTACCCCTGCGGCAGCAGCGGCAGCAGCAGCAGCAGCAGGCAATCAGCAGCTTCCCCCCCGGCCCCCTCGAGCAGCGAGGGCCGGTCGTGCGACGCCCAAAGAGGCCGCCGCCGCACTCCCGCGGCGACGCCGGTGGCCGCGTGGCCGAGGGGGCCCAGCCGCGGCCGCGCTCGCTCGTCGACTTCAAGGCGTACCGCGACACCAAGCTGCTGGTGGCGCGCTTCCTGGAGCACTCGGACGCGGCCGACAACCTCTCGCCGGAGGTGCAGCACGTCGTGGACAACATCCGGTCCGTGATCGCGCTCGACGAGGGCAACATGGAAGAGGCCATCGCGAGCGCAAACGTCATCGACCAGGTGCGCAACTGCGCAAAACTGTTGAACTGTTTTTGTCATGCGATTGTTTATTTGACCAGGGAAGGCCCAGCTGAGCTATGTAGCTCTTTCTCAGAAAAGACCTGGCCACAAATGAGAGGTCAATAGGGACATTTATAGCGGCCAAATGGCTGTAGACGCACGTCGATCCTAAATGTGGAGGAGAAAACCGGAGGACCCGGAGAAAAAGCCACGCGACCGCAAACTCCAAATATACAGCAGCGGCGTCAGGGTCGACATGGAACCCACGACCTCCTGTATACCAGGCAAGGGAATGTAATGTCCTGCCAACTATCCGCTGCAGGGCCGCTGTCGTTTACTCGTTCGTGTGTAAAGCGTGACTGTGCTTGTGTGTGGGGGGGGTAACACCGCATTGTTTCGTTGGTTAAAGAAAACGTTCTTCTGCTCATGATACGCACTTCGAATCGGTTGGCTCACTTGACCTTCAGTTGGTTCACGTTCTTCTGCTCATGATACGCACTTCGAATCGGTTGGCTCACTTGACCTTCAGTTGGTTCACTTGACCTTCAGTCGGTTCACTTGACCTTCAGTTAGTTCACTTGACCTTCAAGGTGTTCAGTAACAGTGCACAGAGGGGGACCACTGTGTGTATGCGTGCGACGAGCTACAGTGCAGAGTGGTTCAGCACACCGCGCTACAACCTGGGCCACCCGAGTTCGCATTCCCACTCGCGACCAATAACGGCGACAAATACCTGAATCGGTCCTGGGCCTCCCCTACTTCAATGCGGGGGAGACAAAGGTGGTCGGGCGTGACGTTAGCCATCCCACCCCCTCGTACACTCTGCTGGCCTTCAACAGCCTGATATGGCGACATGTGCGGTGGACGGGTGCTAATATTTGTTACGTGTGTCCGTCTGCACTCCGAGGTTCGTATAACAGCACTTGCTCCAACAGTCTTCACGGCTGCATGATGGAGGAGGAGGGGGGAGGTTTTGTTGCGTGATGAATGTTATTATTTCATTCTAGATTTGAAGCTTTCGTGACTGCAAGGATTCATACTCTTAGGTTTTTTTTTCGGTAAAGTCACGTAGGTAAAAATTTTTAATTTAATTAAAATTAACAAAAGCACGCTTGCGTGCTGTGACGGTTCCACCTGAAGACGGAAGCTTGTGTTGCCTCCGAAACGTCGTGATTTTTAATTTAAATTTTATTAATTTAAATTAATTTTTTATTTTTTACCTACGTGACTTTACCGGAAAAAAAACCTAAGAGTATTATTATTTCCCTTTGTTTGTTTGTTTGTGTTCAGGCTATAGCCGGCTGCCAATCAGACCGGCCACAGCCTCGGCAGCCGAGCCGGCGGGCTCGCCGGCAAAGCTTGAACTTGAGCAGCTGCGGAGAGACGAGCTCATCGGCCCCGTCAGCCCAGAGACGCCTCCCTCACCACGGCGAGCATGAACGGCCTCACAGTCACATCGGGATCTGTCGAGAGACCGTCCTTTAACCTCGGACGCTGGCGCGCGCAATTTTCGCGCGCGTGCGCTTTCCCCGTGGCGACGATCGCCGTCGTCGCCGTCCTCTTCGTCACCACTTGCGTTCGCGCAGAGTGTTGCCCCCGCGGCAGTTTGGCCTTTTAGCGTTAAAAGGCCGCGTCTGACCACCGAGCGAGCGAGTGTGCGGGAAGACTTCTGCCGCGCGTCCGACCGCGGAAGCAGCGCACGGTGGCCGCCTATGCCTGGTGCTGCGACGGCGACATTTTCACGTCAACGCAAATTACAACCGGCGACGCTCCCGATTGATCGTTTTATCCCCCCCCCCCACCCCCCCAGCCAGACCCTGGACACCAAGGTAAATGTTCATAATTAACGTGTTTGGGTTTAGATCGCGTTATTTATAAATGTGTCGTAACCCTCCACCACCCGACACGGCCAATCAGTAAAAAAGTATCACGTTGACAAAAGACAAATAGTTCACTGCTTTAGCCCACCGGTGTGTTGAAGCGTGAAACCACAACATTTACAATTTGAGTACGACGATTCTCTGGTAATTGCATCCAGCATCATCGGGCAATTCGTCAGAATGGTGAGGCTCCGCGATCTAAACCCAAAAAACGTTGATTATGAATAATATTGGTCGCGAAAGCCTACGTGTTAAAAAGGTAAATGTGTTAATTGCTTGGAGGCCACCTGGCTGCTTAATTATTGTTATTGTAATCTTTATTTAAAGGTGGGTATAAACAATGCAAATTGGACTGAAGATATCAATGGTTTTAATTGATGTAAAAGTTGTATTATTGTTATTGTTGAGGCGTGAAATTCTATTCAAGCTATGGTTGCACAACAAAGATGAAGCGCTTCAATAATTGTCTACCATGATATGGCTTCACGCTAATGCAGCGAGCATTTCTCAATCGCGTATTTAATTCGGTACCAGCACTACAGTTTGACATTAGTACTTTTCATTAATATTCGCCGTACATCTTGACACTGGTTTACTCGATACGATTTGAGTTTTTTTTTTTTTACAATTCTTAAGCTATCCAAAAATAAATTCTCAATCCTCTCGAGGACTCGTCACTGCTGCTCCAGCAGGCACCATGATTACACTTTTGTAATGCACTTGCGAGCCACATATATTCCTTTAATGCCGTTAATGAATTAAAGCCCCATCGGATTTTGTGTGTGTGCAGGTTTGTTCGGCCTGAAGGCAGAACCAACGCACCAGGCCAACGGTTCCCTGTGTGGCTGTATCTATTTTTCCCTTTGGGACAGAACCGATGAAATAACTTCATTTTCTTTCAGCCGCCAGGTACCATGCCTTTTGAAATGTGAAAATGAATTAGCGAGTGAGAAAAAACGCAATTAATAGATACTCGGGGTAGGATAAATTTTATACAACGTTAAGCAATGTTTGCTAACTATTTCACAGGATTTGTTTCTTTGCAGGAACTGACAGAAGCTTGTCAAACTATAATGCCGTAATCATACCCCCCACAGGGTAGGTTGTCACGCGTTTTTAATGCACGTTTATCTCGTATTTCCCCTTGTAACAGCCGAGAACTCAGTTGAGTTTATTTATTTTTTCTTTCTAGGAATTCACAAGATTCCTGCGCAATCAGAAAGTGCATCATTTTTTATTTCATAGTTTTAAAAACACGGTCTGACTCTCGTGTGTGAGCACAAAGGCAGTGTTTTGGCCATATGTGGGCCTCAGTGGGCAAAATTGTCAACAAAATGTGTTGTTAATCTGTAACAAAAAACGCATAAAAGCAGTTTTCACCAAGATATGGTCGACTGGAATGGCAGAATGTTTAAATGTGACGGTCTTATGTAATGGGACCAACAACAAATGAGGTTACACTTTGTATTGGTCAGCCTTAAAATTAAATTATATTTATAATGCTGTGTGCTTACTATACATATATAAGGTATTGCACCCCACAAAGCAATTATGTGCAACATATCTTTTAAACTGATGGCGCAGTGTTTCACATACGGCGCTACGAACGCGATGACCTGAGTTTGATTCCCAACCATGGCTAAGATCATCAGTAGTGAGCGATATCAACGAGTCCTGGATATATCTCCCTCATCATGGAAACGAACGCGACTATCCAGCTTTCATGAAGTACCATTGAACAAAACCCCCATGACGTTTAAGGCATGGGGATGCATTCGTCCAGCAGTGGATTAACACAGAGCTGTAAGTAAGACTGACTTGTGGTGTTCATTATTTTGTCAAATCAAGTTCACCCTACTAAATATCAATTCCTGTTCACGGTGAAATGTGCTGAACGGAACTGAGCCCAAATTGTTTTTAGACGCCTTTTCCCCCCGTCTCTCTTAATGACAAAAAAGAATCCAATCTAAGTAAAAACAAAACAAAAATCCAAGTGTACACCGGTGCTTTACATTGCAAATTGCATTCTTGGCTTATTTCCCTTGGCATTTTAAACCTATTGCTTACCGCATTTTCGTCGAGGAAATGCAACAAGCCTCTGAAGGCCATTTAAAACTCTCTCTCTTTCATCGCACGTGTCCTGTTGCTTCATCATTACACCTGCAGTTTGGCGCATCTGTGTTTAATGTTAATTAATGCCAGTAAATATCAACTGTTGAACCAATTAGCGGACAAATACAGCATAATGCTGAACATGAGCCTGCCGACACTAGGCCACATTGTAAACAAGATGGCCCCCATAGCCTTTGTCAGTCCTAGGATGGCAATTGCATAAATTGAATTGCCTGAGTATACTAACGAGTTTAGTTTATTATGTTTGATTTTTATTATTTTATTATTTCTCTTCTACGTGACTTTACCGAAAGAACCAAGAAGAGTTTAGTGAGCTCTAATTTCTAGTTGAGGGCCTACCACCTAAATGGCTTCTCATAAACAAAATCATTTAAGAATAACACTTCTCAAACAGTGCACGTTCGGGAATTATTTGGCATTTGTGATGCGAATCAACAATCTCAAACTGGATCCCTTTTGTCAGCTGATATGCTAACGTATTTATGGATGCTGAACTTCTTTCGCACCGTACGTACCCAACCATACTCATCTGAAGGCAAGAACAATAAACGAGACAAAAAAAGCAGTTTTGAAGAAATTCGTTTTAAATGTTCGACTACATGGAAGTGAAACTGTGGTTTATGAACTGTCTGCGAGGCACGGCAAGCTGCTCATCGCTGCGGGGCCGTCACCTCCTGCAATGGCGTCGCGTTCGCAGAAGCCCTCTTCTTCTGCTTGACCAAGCGACTCGGTGATTTTAGTGGACGACTTCGGGTCGAGGTCGCACCTGAATTCGCTGTCGAAGGCTTTAAAAGATCAAAAGAAACGCAGATCCCCTATCCGTCGATATTCGTACGTACGATCCAAGTTGAAGATAGTTTCCAGTTGAGCTGCAAACGAGGATGGAGTCAAATTTCGATGTAAAGCTTTCGTGACTGCAGGGATTCATCTTTGTTGGTTCTTTCGGTAAAGTCACGTAGAAGGGAAATAATAAAAATAAAACAGAATAAAATAATTCTCACGACGTTTCGGCCACAATGCTGTCTTTCCGACAGACCTGTTCTTCACATGAGGATGGCTGCTTGCGTTATGGCCGAAACGTCGTGAGAATTATTTTATTTTGTTTTATTATTTTATTATTTCCCTTCTACGTGACTTTACCGAAAGAACCAAGAAGAGGATGGAGTCATCGGTGGAGCCGCGCGGCTCTCTGCTGTCCACCGCTGCGGAGTCTCAGTGGCCGTGTAGTTACACCCCAGTAGCTTGGCCGTCTTTAAGAGTGGCAGCGTGGGGTGGTGGTGGGGGGGTAAGAATACAAAAAGAAATGGGGCAAGCGGGTGGGGGGTGGGGCACGACACGGTCAATGTTAAACACAGATTCAAACTAATAAAGGTTTTTTTGGGGGTTAGATCGCGTAAGTATAAATGTGTAGTAACCATCCACCACCCAAGACATCCAGTAAGGGTTGTCACGCAAACAACGCGGCAATGAGTTACTGTTGTGGATTTACTCTCCAACACACCGGTGGGCTGAAGTGGTCACTAATTGGCGCGTTCTGTTTACGTGACAGACCTTACTACTGGCTCTGTCGGGTGGTGGTGGGTTACGACACATTTATATTCACGCGATTTAACCCGAAAACCTTTGTTGTGAATAATATTGGTCGCGAAAGCCGACGCGTTACACAATTTCAACAAATATTCAGCAGAATGTGTGCCTCTACGACCTGCTTTTATCTATTCTGCTTGCTTTATTGAACTCCTAAACGATCACAATTTTAGGGAGGGAGGGGGGGGGGTCTCAGCACCCCCCGCCCCCCCCCCTCCACACAACTGGGCTGTGTGGTTGTTACCCCATTGAGTAGAGAAACCGGTTGTAAATTCAGTGTCACTTCTTTAATTTCAATGTTTTGTACCCACGTTCCAATTCAACAAGTGCATCGTGTAGCATTTGGCATTAAACATGGCGACGTAATTAGAAAATATGATAGGTAATTTGGGAGAACAAATAAAAAACATGCCTGAAATACACAACACATCTCCAGAGTCCTGTGGCCCTTCATTGATTCTCGACAATATTCAGCTATCCTGAGAGTTTTAACTCTAGAGAAGATTAACTCTTCTACTATTCACATTTAGATGTCTCATATCATGTAATTAAGGCACCATTATTTCCACAGGACGTGTACACAGCAGCCAGTGGAGGTGACCTAAATCCGTACCCAATGTCCACATGAAGTGGTTGGATGGAATAGTCTTAGGTTTTCTTTGGTAAATTCACGTAGGTAAAAAAAAATTAAATGTGACGGTTCCACCTGAAGACGGAAGCTTGTGTTGCCTCCGAAACGTCGTGATTTTTATTATACTTTTATTAATTTGAATTTTTTTTACCTACGTGACTTTACCGAAAAAACCTAAGAATATGAATCCTTGCGGTCACGAAAGCTTCAAATCTAGAATTGGTTGGATGGAAGTTTACAGAAAAGTCTGGATATACTAAAACCCGCAAATGGAAGACCACTTGCATATAGAAGGCTCCGCTTCAGCGCTAAGCAACACGGGAAGCGCGTCGTACGATCACTGTGTGTACGTACGTTGAGCTTGTTTCGATCCCGTACGTAGCCAACCGTGCACTCATCGGAGGTGCTGGGGCAGGACAACAAACTCGACACGACAAAAAGCACTTGTAAAGAAATTCGTTTTCAATCTACATTTAAAAGAAGGGGTGGGGGGGGGGGGAAACAAGCCCGCAGAAGCACATCCTAGAGCACGCGGTGCGGTATCCATCTTTGTTCGGTGGCTCGGCAAAAGCCGCCGCTGCCGCTGCTGCTGCTTCTATGATGGCTTGGGAATAACCATTGTGTGCTCAGAGAGAGCACTGCCACGACTCGCCTTGCATCGCGAATGTGGGTGAACGTTTGCGAGACGTGGCTTTCTGTGATTGGTGATTGCAGTGGGGTTACATTGCACTGTCACGCGTTCCATCTCGGTTGTGCTTCGTGCGTGCCTGGCGCTCGTGCATCAGCAATGCTGCCGGGTCATAATGGGAATGCTTTTGAGCGTAACATTTCCGCAACACTGAGACTCTGCATTGACAAATAGGCCGCACTCTTGCAAGCCATGCCTGCCACTCCTGCTAGTTGTGAGCTGTGGATGTGTTTCATTGCTGCTGTTTCCCAGCCGGAGACTCATTTGTCTCATTTTGGAAACAGCCTTCGAGGCTTTGGCGCTTTTACTGAAAGCTATATTTCTGGACACATTTTCGGCCCCATTTGCTTTCTGATTATAGATCTCCTTTGTTAATATGCTCATGCTCCTCATGAATGGAATCCCTCTTCCATATCATTTTCACCTAGTGATTTGTCAAAATGTAGGAATTTAGTTTGAAATGTGATACTTGTGGTTTCTGCTAAAGTACATAACCTGGCTGTACAGGTGAAGAGATGGAAATTTATCGCTTTGTTATCGACCTATTATTTTACAAAGTAGCTCATATGGAGCACCTAAAAATGTTACTCTGGTTTTCTCTATGAAATAAAAACAATTTATAGGTGCTGCTGAAGGTAAATGAATAATGAAACCTCTCTTTAACAGGGGATAAATTTAACCAAGTCAATCATTTTTTTACAACGATATCCATCGCTTCGATATCTTTATGAGAAGCGATCGTAAAAAAAACACACATTTGCCGCAATTACGCGACACTAAACGAGCGTCAACAAAACGCTGCAGTGCTTGCTACAAACAAAAACATGTTTACGGTTGAAAGGTCACGGGGAGCCACGACGATGTCACGCAAAGATGGATGTTTCACTCCCAGCAATGGGATTTTGTGCCCGAGCTCTGGTTGCAATGGTCCTACACCACCGCACGCGTAACACACCGTCAATGCGGGAGCGAGCGATTCTGCAGGATTCTAGATTTGAAGCTTTCGTGACTGCAAGGATTCGTACTCTTAGTTTTTTCGGTAATGTCACGTAGGTAAAAAAATGAAATTAAAATTAATAAAAATTAAATAATAATAAATAAATAATCGCGACGTTTCGGAGGCAACACAAGTGTCCGTCATCAGGTGGGTGCTCTCTTTTAGCCCCGCCCCCCCACCTCCCGATACGTTCCATTCATTGGCTACCACATTCTGATAAGCTCCCCCCCCTCTCCTCCCCCTTAACTTGTATTTAAGAACTTGCATCTTGGAATCCCTGCCTGACTTGATAAATCAAATCTGGCTGTGACGGTCCCACCTGATGACGGACACTTGTGTTGCCTCCGAAACGTCGTGATTTTTTATTTTTTATTAATTTACTTGTATTAATTTTAATTTCATATTTTTGCCTACGTGACTTTACCGAAAAAACTAAGAGTATGATTCTGCAGGAGGTGCTAATTCATCGACGGGCACCGTCGTGCTTTTGAGCGCATCGCAGTGAACCGCGCGCGCTAGCGCTCGTCGGTGTTTTGCGATCGCTCATCGAGACGAGACGAATAGGACCGGCGGGAGCCGTGCGAAAGGCGATAACGGTGCCACTTCGTCGGGGACAATATGAAGCTGGCCTCGGCTTCCCTTGAAATCCACATCCAATGGGCAGGTGCCCAAGGAGTGTTGGAGCTTGCGCGAGAAATGCGCGTTCGGGTCACGGAGAGATGCCGCTAGCTCAGAATGTCCCATCACGTCGGCGCTGAATGTGGGCGCAGTATTTGGGCTCGTCACGTGACATCTCGGCAATGTATTCGGTGACCCCCATTGCCAGCGTTTAGACCCAGTAACATGAACCACGTGCCAAAACACTGATGGTTGCTCAGAATGTCGGTTCTGTATTTAAACGTAAGGGATACAACAAAGATCCCCCGTATAGCCTGTAACAGACTGTAGGGGCAAGTGCTGTTAGCGAGCACCTATGAAGGCCGGCACAGCACACGAGGGGGTGGGTGGCCAACACCACGCCCGACCGCCTTTGTCTCCCCAGTGGCGATGTTTACACACCGCACCAAGTATTCATTTAAGGCTGAGTCGACCTAGGGGAGGCCCAGGACCGGTTCAGATAATCGTCACTGGTGTTAGCCGTGAGCGGGAATCGAACCCGGGTCGCCAGGTTCATAGCGCAGCGCGCTAACCGCTACACTACCGCTCCCCATAAAGGGATACAACACACACGCACACATTGCATTTTTTGCATTTTCTTGATTTCTTTGCTTTTGCTCACAGCATAGCAATTGTTGGTTGTTGACGTTAATCTCACCACGCTGCCAATTATTTTCTTCTGCAATCGCCTCTGTCTGCGGCTCCTGCCCTTCACTATTGAGGCCGTGGATCACGACGCGATTTGCCCGTTCGAGCACTCACGGTGACGGTAAACATACGAATGACGTTGTGGAAAATATGGCTGCATGGGAGGCTGTGACAGGTAATATCCGAGAGAATTTGCACTTTTTAACCCGACGCAGATTTACCTCTGAATATGTTTTATTTACCATAAATCCTGCAGCAATAACTTTTCGATCGTTCCTCTTCGAGAAGAGGCGCTGCTTTTACTGGACAAAGGAGGTGATTTGACATCTACGTGTGTGTATGCGAGGGACGGTCAAACAAGATATTCAAAATACGTGGAAACCTCCCCCGCACAAATGATTTGTTTCAGCATTCTAGCCTCGTATCAATGCACTTATATTCTACGGTTTGTGTGCGAAGAGAGCACTTCAAAGCAATCGTAACATTTTGTTCTTAACGAGACAAATGCCTGTGCATTTTCTGCTGTCTGACTTGTTTTTTTTTTGACCGCCCCTTATGTATATAACTGCATCTTTATATATATTAAAAAAACCGTGCCACTATTTAAAATATTCCCTGTCCACTTTGTGTAACATTCGTGGTTTAAAAAATAATTCGGTTGGATCACATTTCTGGGATTATTGCATCCGCCTTCAACCTGAGCCTTTTGACGTATATGCATCACTGAATATACAACGCTGAATGCGATTATT